GCAACTACCTGACTAGGCTTTGAGTAAGTTAATAGTTGAGGGGATTGAGTTATATACCTATTCATAGTTAAGGAATTTAGTTTTAAGTGAGTCAATAATTGAAGGATCACAAGATTAATTTTTTTCCTTTTAAAATATATGTTTTCTATCGATAAAGGTTAGTCCAATTGATAAGGATTTGATCCATAATCCACAAAGTCATGGAATTAAATTCCGTTATTGATGTGAAGATCTTGTTGGTAGACAATCTATAAGTACATTTGTAAATTCTCTTTAAGCCTCGAAGCATACCTTGACTATTGTTCTTCAAGGCAAAAGATAGACTATTAAAGCATATGGTGATGATAACTCTAGTTTTGATCTTAATAAGATCCCACCTTTCATAATAAATCCACTTCAATCAAGTAAAGTGGATGAGATAGATAATGAATATGCTGTTAGAGATTATAATTGCAAAGGAATTTGAGAGAATAAATAAAGTAATAGTTTTTATTTTGTTTATTATTTTAGTTTATTAGATTTTTTATATATTTGCTCTTTTTTCAATTATATTTTTATATTTATGATCTATCTCACCTTGTTTTCGATAGGCATATGGAGGGTTCTGGAGGAGGTAATGATAATACCACTATTTCATCTAGTAAGCAGAGGGGTAAGGGCCCCAAAAAATTGAGAGAGTTGGCCATATGTTATGAGATTGCAGAGAGGTTGCATGTTAAACTTGGTTCGGATTTGGTTTCACTTGGCTTTGAGGGAGATTGATTTATCAACTTCATTAGTTTTCAAGCTCATGATAAAATTAGTATTCCATATAAGGATTAGAGGCAAGTACCATAAGCTATAAAGGATCAAGTTTGGGAAAAAAATCTGATAAGTACCACACACTTTGTAATTGTTATTTTTATAATAATTTTTTTAACTATTAACTTAATTTAAACTTAATTAATTTGTAGCTAACCTATGATATTCTTGCTACCCTTGAGATGAAGAAGCATTGGTTAAAGAATGTTAGTCATGAGTGGCGGAAGGATTTCAAGTCAACTTTGACTAGAGACTACATCTGTGCAAATAAGAAGAAGATGGGTCGAGATTTGTGTTAAGATTACAACTTTATTGACTAAGACACTTGGAGATAGTTAGTGGCATCTCAAAATGACCCTATATTTTAGGTAATAAGTTGTCACTTTCTATCTAATGTTGTTCAATATAACTTTACTAATTTAAATTTTTAGGTTATTGTGTATTTTTGCCTCTATACTTTTCTTTAAGGAGTGCTGGGTAATCTATATTAATAGGAGGGTCATTTTTCCCCCTCAATCATTTTATAGATGAGCAAAAATCCCCCTCTGTTAATGTACTAACAGGGGGACAATGTACTTTAACTCCCTAAAAGATGCAAAATACAATGAGATCTCACAAATCTTATGATTCTTCTCAAGTCCCTAGGTACCTTCTGACATTAATGATTTTTTGTGAAGTTTCTAAAATACCCTAGTTTAAAATAAAAAATAAATATTAGTGACTACTTTAGTTTAATAATGACAACCTTTCTTCTAACAATGACTAGAATGAAACAACCAATTATAACTTCATTCCCCTACTAATTTTCTTTAGGCAAAAATGCACTTTAACCCTACTTTTTTTTCATTTACATAGAAATTAAGTGCCATAAATAAACTGATACAATCACATAATCTATATCCTTATAACATGTCTCATCGGGGATATAGGAAATTTGAGTGGAAGCTAATTGAGGAAGATCAAAAGAAAATGGAGAAAGCAGCAAAATAAGACCCCACCATTGTTGTTCATTTCCCACTACACCCAACTCACCATGGAAAATGGAAGGTTGGAAGAATCAAGAAAGTGGAGTATATTATTTCAGAGGCAGTTGCAGTTGTTGAAAAGATCATAAGTAGTTAAATAAATTTAAATTTATGATTAATTATCTTTGAAAATAAATTAATTACTTAGCTCGTATGTTGTAGGATTCACTTAAAAAGCAAGCTTACCAAGGTTCTTCACTTTAAGTGGTAGGATGGACATTTTAGCAACTGCAATTAGAAAGCTAGGAGAAGTAATTAAAGAAAACTAAGTTAGGGTGACAATTACACATGTTCAAATAGGTGAGAATAATGCATAAGTGTCATTTCCTACCTCTGAGATTGCAACAGTAGGCCAAGTAAAAGGATTGTTCATTCTACAGCCTAAAAGTCTTGTGTCAGATACCAAAGTAACATCAACAGAGGTAAAAGAACACCTTAATATTATGTTATTTTCTTTGTGTTAATTAATTACTTATATATCTTTCATTTTATATTTTAATATGAACCTAAAAATGTTATGAAAGTTTCTTGTATGGCACAACTGCATGAAACTTTCAAGAATATGAAAGGCATTACCATTAAAATGCCACTAGGGATCATAGTTGTTGAAAAGGAATATATTTTTGGAATCGACATGAGAGACTTTAAGGAGTTCCTAACGTTAAAGAAGCTGGACATATCATGGGCCAAATTAAAAATCTTATAACGTTTTTGTTTACTTTTCTCCATTTTTTCTAGTTTATTTTCATAGCACTAACATTTGGATCTAATTTTAATGATAGTTACTTCTACAATATTTGCCGAGCAATAGAAAAGCAAAACACATTTGGATTTTTGTGCCTAGTAATTATGCAGAAGGCTCGAAGTTTAGTACATAAGAGGATAACATACATGATGAATCATATGTCAAATACAAGATTGCCTTGCTATTTAGCGTTGATCATTGAGAGGCACATATTTTTTATTCATGTTTATGCACCCGCATGTGTGTATAAATTTATAAAGTTTATTCGTATTATTTAATACCCATTAAAAATTTTATATGTTGCAAGTATCATTGGTTACTTTGTGTTCTTTTCCCAAATCAAGGTGTAGAATACTAATTTTGTTCTTTGGGCAAAAAACTAAGTGATAAGTTAAAATGGATTTTCAGTAAGTTTATCTATATAAAACTTTACTTCTATAGTTATTTATACTTTTTTAATGTTTTTTCATTTACAATTGATAATAGTGCACTTGTGTCATATTATATAATGGCTAGGATATGCAAGCCAAAATCAATGATGGATTGGATTAACCTAAATATGAATATGGCTCCTTAGCTTTCATATTTAATTATCCTTCACATGTGTTAGTTTAATTTCAACTTTCTATTTATTTTAGTGCCATAGGCAGCTAGGGAAAATATAATATGGATACTATATTATCCATTCCATGTATGATATAATTTAAGTCGGAAGTGCTAAAAGTTTACATGAGGTATTTGATTATTAAGAAAGCTGATGTTAAAAACCTTTTAAAATTAATTTTTCTATATAAGCTTTCCACATCATTTATTTAGAATAATAGAAGTAGAAATATGACTTTTCACATTGCCTTTTTTTTTTATTCTCCCTAATAACTAACGTAAAATGTCCAAAATAATCAATGTAAAAAGTCTTTTATACAATAATGTTGGTGAGCCGTTAGACTCAAGTCATCTAAACTTTTTAAATTTTCATTTATCAAACTGTTGATTGACCATCACGTAATATGTTTTGGACAAAAAAAACATAAATTTAATTAAAAAACATTAAGATTACCAAAAAAAATTATTTAATCCATATATTTTTAATTTCTTTTATCATATTTTAAACTCTTTAGTTATGTAAACTTTTTATTTAATAATTTTTTAAAATTTTAAATATAAAAATTTGTTAGAATAATATTTAAAACACGTTGTAAAAAAATTAAGGACTTTTATAGATATACCCCATGTTATAGAATCAAATAAAATAAACAACCCAACATTAATTACATTTTGCATTATGGCCAGTTTATTGTACTTGTCAATGATATATCATTGTATATCAATTATAAACTCGTAAATTTTCAAATTTTAAATGATAAACTCCTTTTATATTAATGTGAACTCGTCATACTTTCAAATTTTCAAAATTTGGTTCATATTTTTTGAGCACAAGATTTTTTTTTTGACAAGTGGGCCAATTTATTCAGAAATATTAATGGATTACAAATTTATTAATACAATAAGGGATATACTAGTCAGTAAATTATATGTTTATTTTCTTTATTTATTATTAAATTTTATACAATATTTAAAAAAATTAATTTAAATATTATCATACCTGATTATTTAAAATTGTTTAAATGAGAGCGAAGGAAGGTGAGAATAGATAATTAGATTATGAGAGTGAAAATAAAAATTTAAATTTTTGAAAATAATTTAAATTGACAAAGTTGTGATGTTAGAATCTTTGATAAAATATTGTTAAAGATGTTAAAAATTGAAGTAATTAAAGTATATATTTTAAAAGTAAAGGCAAGATTTAAAGACCCTTAGTGACAAGCGAAGTTTATGTTAGCTCGGGGAAGTTAATCATTAAACTACTTTAGTTTATATATCAAATAATTTTAATTTAAATTCCATTATTTTTTTTTGAAATTTAAGTTTAAAAGATTAATTTAAATTACTTTGCATTAAAGTTTTAAAAAATCATCACATTGTATGGATAACATGATTGCATCTGGAATTATAGACATCATATATTTTATTTTTAAAACTTTTTATATACTCGAGGGTATTATGGATCAGAACATAGGCACACATTCAATGTTTTTCTATGAATATTATTTTTAAAAAATATTTAATAAATAAAAATTGTGTTGTAATCAAAATAAAATTCAAACAATTTGACGTATCTTAAGAAAATTATGTTATTGTAATTAATATAAATCAGCATGGATATTTATTATCCCCCACAAATCTTCCAATATTTCCATTATCCCACAAAATCTTCCAGTATCCTTAATTATTGCACAATTAAATATATTTTTTTTATTGTATTGGAGTTATAAACCTATGCATAACTGTAATATTGCGGACGATCAATTTTTTCTATTATCGGTGGTTGACTTTCGTGACTTCTCTTACGACGACGAACTTCCACAACAATGGCATCATCTGTGGAGAATATAACTGTGGTGAGCAGCGACGGTGATGAGTTCAAGATAACCGTCGGAACCGCCATGCAATCGGAGCTATTGAATCGAATGCTGAAGGACGATGATTGCGTCTTTAACAAAGTCCCAATGTCTCCTGTGAACACTGCAACATTGGTGAAAGTGATGGAGTATTGTCAAAAGCATGCTGACGGTGGAGCCTCCGATTCCGGAGACGTTGAAGATCTGAAAAGATGGGACGATGAGTTTATAAAGGTAGATTCAGAGGATATGCTATTTCATATTTTAGTAGCAGCAAACTACTTAGAAATCGTAAGCTTGTTTGATTTAGCTTGCCATGCTGTGGGGAATTTGATGAAGGGAAAAGCTCCCAAAGAGATACCAAGAATTTTCAATATAGAGAATGACTTTAGTCCTGAGGAACAAGAGAGATGTAATATCCTGAATTCCTAATCCAAGCTAATTAGGGATAAATTAGTAAATTAGTGAATTAATTGGAGAATTGAGATTTTTGGATGGTAAACTGATGTTTTGGTATATTGGGATGTTGAATGAATAGGATTGAGTGAAAAAATGGTGTTTTAGAGTGAAATGTGTGAGCATGGTGACATTTTCTTCAATGTGCCACATATTGCGGTGCATGGCACAAAAATTTGCTCAATCATACATGGCCAACTAGTGGATTTTAGAAGGAAGAGGGAGGAGAAATGCAAAGGAGAGTAAGAGAAGGAAGCACTCTACTAGGGCAAGAAGTTTTAGGGCCTTGGGTGATATTTTCCACCAGTTGCTTACCAGGTAAGTTTCGTACTGCTTTAAGATCTGATTCTATCATAATTTCTCTTAGTTTGAGTTATAAAAAAATTGAATCAAGGAGTTTTAATTTAAGGGGTTAATTACTTACCCCTTAAAAAAAATATTTTTGGGAATCAAATTAAGTCTTTGCCACTAGTTTGGAAATTGATGATTAAGTTGAGGCTGTAGGCTAAGTTTTAACTTTAATTCAATAGTTTGAAGGGGTAGGAAATTGGTATGAGGTGTGTTGGAACTTATAGAAGTGATAAAAAGGTTAAAGAGTGAGACCTAGAATGGTCATTTGAAAAGAAATGAACGGTTAATTAAGGATGATAGTAATAATTAGTACTTGTAATCAATTTGTAAATTAACTAATAGTGCTAATTTGTATAGATTAACGTATTGTGTGTGCAACTTGAGGTAGTGGAAATGAGTTGTGACGTTGAGTGCTAAAAGAATATCACAAGTAACCTTTATAGTGACAAAAAGATTAAAGTAATCGAATAATTCACTCTGTTTAATTAACTTGTTTACTTGTTTAAGAGTAATTATATAATACAATATAGGTGTTTTTGAGTTGTTGCATGATTGTGAAATTGGCATAAAATGCACTAGAATTTATTGAATAATACGTATCGCTACAAAAATGATTTTAAAGAATTGGAATTACAAAGGTTTATGTATATATGTATATATGTGGCTTAAACTACAAACATGTGGGTTGTATTTTAGAACTGTAAGCATCATCATGTTAAGGGTGGGAGTTTATCCATAAAGAGAAGTAGTGAAAGATCATATGGCATTTATTTTATTGAGTGCTCGACAGGGTATGGTATTAGACAATTCTTCTCCTGATTGCCTATATTTAAGTATGGCATTGGAGATTCTCTCCTGAGTAATCAAATGGGTATGGTATTGGAGATTTACACTCTTGACCATCTGTGTGATGTGGTATTGGAATAATGACATTCCAATCATGCATTGGTAGGGAAAACCATAGTCTAAAAGTAGAATAGAATACCTTTAGCTGGGTCATTCTACTATTGAAGGTGCGCTCAGATTAGTATGTGCGATTGGTCCAGTGGAGCTTATGATTTTAGTTGGGATAATATGGAGGTTTGGATAGTAGATTGATCATACTAGTGTTTTAACAATGATTTGACAAAAAATGGATATATATATATATATATATCTTTTATATATTTTATGAGTTTTACTTGTTCACAATTATACTAAGTAATTGATAGATGTGAATTATTTTATTATTGAAATGTTTATTTCATCTCGTGGTTACATTTTTATAGGTTCTAATAATGAACAGGGAAAGGGGAAAGACTTAGGAGAGGTGTAGTTGTGCTACCGCCATGCTACACGAGTTTATGTAATGAATTTGCCATGTTATAAGTATAAATGATTTTTGCCATAGGAATGCATTAGCATATAGTGATTGATGCATGTGTATGATTTTGTAGATCTTAGCCTGGATGTGTGATAATGTACAACATGTGGTGAAATGTGACCTATTGGGCTAAGATAGTCATGTGAATGTGTAATTGTGTGTGAAAGTGATGAATATATGGAAAATTGTGAAAACAAGCCAATTGTGTGAACATGGCAGTTTGATGGCCAATATGAATGTGTGACTTTATCGATACTATTGCTTATTTAGGTGAAATATGTCTCATTGGATGTGATCAAGCCCTTAAAAGTGGCTAATGATGCACCCGTTAGATTTGGAATACTCGGGTTAGGTGAAAATGACAAAAAGTGGTCATTTTATATCTGAACGTCTGATTTTCAAATGAGACATCATATTGAAACAAAACTTGTGTCATTAATTAGCTTGTCAAATGAGTTTCATGTGGGCGCTTAAATCACTCCAATTGGACGTCATATGAGGAAACGGTGCACGTCGAAAGTTCATATCAGTGAGCTATTATTGATAGCAAAAGTTGATATGTGTGTTGTGGTGCATGTCACAGAGCGAGCACTTTTGGCTCTATGACACATGTGCCACATGCCGAGGCATATGGCCCCTTTATTGAAAAATGTTGTTTTGCTTCTGTTTTCACATGGTAAGGTGCTTATGTAGCTTATAAGCTTTTGCTAAGCAAATATATATACTTTTAAAGTATTTTTAATGATTTTGAAAAGGTTTTGGTATCCCTATTATTTATAAGTATTTATTTCCTTTATTTGAAATAATTGTGTTTGAGGGAATTAAGAGCGATGATTTGATAATGTTGGATGGACATTACAAGAGACTACGCAAACAACATAGTTCCTTTGATTGAAGTCAAACTTCTATATTGTGTTGTGACTTTTTGGTTTTGATTTTTTTTAGTTCTGAATTGTAATAATGGATTCAGATAAATTTATGTTTTATTAAATTTGATTGTAATACAACCATGAGAGTTGGGTCATATAGGAGGGACTATCCTTGAAAAACCAAGATCTGAATGGATCTACATTTAGTGCCAATTGTGCCTCATAACAAAATTGCCTTCTGTGTTCAATAAAAAAATTAATGTATATGTTTGCCTTGTATGTATCTTAGTAACTAAAGTTACAAATTAAAAAGCATATAAATTATCAAGGGAGAATGAGATTATAGACCTCACAAATTATTAATTTCAGTTCGGTGGCTTGAATTAGTCAAATACCATCCAGTAGAGCATGTGAATTATACCAAAATGTTTTATTTTTTTTAAAAAGAAAATCTCCTCGAGAGAAAATCACTCAATTGCCCCACAAGAGAGACATTATAATATGAAAGGCTCAAAACATTCTGAAACTTCATGAAGGTCTAAAGTCCTTAATTGGAATTAAGTTTCAGAAATCAATTACTAATAAAATGTATCCTAGCCACTGCCAGAGCTCTATCATTGTTGAAGCTCTGGCATGCACTATCAATATCACTATTAGAAAAATACAAATTAGTGAAGGAATTTAACGAGGGATCATCTATTCCTCTCTAAAATACCAAATTAATGAGGAAATTAGCAAGGGATGTTGATTTCGTAGCTTGACTTAAAATTAGCAAGGAAATTAGTGAGGGACTATTAATCCCTCTATAAAATAAGAGAATTAGTGAGGAAAATAGTGAGAAACTATCAATCCCTCTCTAAAATAAGAGAATTAGCGAGGAAAATAGTAAAGGATTACCAATCCTTCTCTAAAATAAGATAATTAGCGAGGGATTCTATCCCTAGCTAATTACTGCAAAAAAAAAAATAACTTTTAATAATGACTTTTAATTATATATTTAATTATTTTCATTTAAAAAAATAATTAAATTTAAAAATTAACTAAAATATTCATAATAAAATTATTTAATATTTTCTTTATTTTAAGTTGATTTTCATTAATAAAATAATATTTTATTAAAAATATAATAAAAAGAATAATTTAAATAAAATATAAATATTTTTAACATATTAATAATTGAAAATAAAATTTAATATGTATATGTGTGTCTTTTTATAATATATTATTTGATATATTTATGTAGTTAAATAATATATATATATATATATTTAATTTCTCATATAATAACTGCAAGTGTTTTTCACTTCAACTAGCAAAGAAGGAGAGTATAAGGCTTAGAAGATATGAGGTCAAGGGTTCAAGTCTTGGCTTTGGCATAAATATGATGAATATATGATATGGTAAGGAGCAAATGACATAGCACAAGATGGACAATGACGTGTCATGAGTTGTCGCACATGTGGCCGGTGATGGGGTGCGAGATGGTAGGTGACATGATGGTTGACAAGGCATGAGGTTGTTGGTGACATGTCACAAGTTGATATCACATACGACGGGTGATGTGACATAATTATTTTTAAATATAGGCATATTTAGCGAGGGACTAATTCCTCGCTAAAGTTATCAAATTTTGAATAGTATTAGAGAGGGATTAGCAAGGGATTCAGTCCCTAGCTAATTTTAGTGAGGGACTGAATCCCTCGCTAATTAGCGAGGGAAATGCAATTCCTCGCTAAATTTAGCGAGTCCTTTTTTTAACTACGAATTTAGTGAGGGACAAAATCCCTCGCTAAAATGTAATTTAGCTACGAAAAATGGCATTTAGCGAAGGATGTGTCCCTTGCTAAATTCCATTTTTTTAGTAGTGTATGCTCAATGAGGTAAAAGGTCTATGGAGAGCTTGAATCCATGATCCCTTGTTTAAAAGGCCACAAAACCAACTAAAATAATATATAGTGCAAAACAAAATATATTATAAGTTTCATTCTCAAGAAATTTTCAAAGATTAATTTATTTCTTGAATATTGACAAGTAATCAATATAATACTAAATAAAATAATATATATATATATATATATATATATGTGTATGTATGTTATAAATTTAGCTTCTAAGCATTTCCATGAGTCGTTATTAATTCTAGATGAGTTGTTGATATCCGAACAACTACTTATTAACATTCGAATATGACTTATCAATATTCAAGAAACAAATGTTCAATTTTCAAAGACTAATTTGTTGCTTGAATATTGAGAAATTATCAATATTATGTTAAATAAAATAATATATGTAATAAATTTAATTTTAAAGCATTACTAATGTAAAAAACAATTTTCACTACAGTTATTAACAAGTAAGTTTCGCGACAGAAAA